GTATATAAGAGAAACAGAGGTTTTTAATGTTGTTTAAGTGAAAATGTTTCAAAATGGCTTTTTATAGTTTTTCTGCTAACTCACTTTCTTCTTCCCAAAATCCCCCTCACAGCCTTATCTCTATTCAGGAATGTCCTGAATAGATATCGGGAAGTTTTCTCACTGGGTTTTATCTACTCCTTTCTATTGGTTGTTAACCCTTGCCTACCACTGGTGGTTCTGCAAAGTCCCCTGAACTTTTAATTGGTTATTTCGTAATCCCCCCAAAACCTATATATATATGATCCATGAACAATAAACTTGTTCTCCTCTGCTGACCTCTGTTGTGAGTCTTTCCGAGCAACATGGGGACCACGTGGTGGGGGGAGAGGGGAAGCATTTCCCCTCCAGGTAATGGGCTAAAAACCCCAGGTCCTGATGCCCCTTTTCCAATCCACTGTCGCAGGATATAACTGAGAAAATAACTTCAGACCACCTTCTCTTTTCTTGGTATTCATCCTTAATCCAACAAGATCAGCTCAGGGGCACAGAAGCTTTGTATGGCTGGCTGAATTGTATGCATGGAATCCCCTTTCTGGCAGCAAGCAGACAGTTATGTACACTGCAGGGCGTGTCTTTGTTTACAATTTTCATATCTTCTTCAATGCTATTTTCTATACTCATTCATATGACCACAAAAACCCACCATTAACCTATCTCTCTTCTTTCAAGTTGATAGGGTGGTTCCTGATAGCCTGCATCACGGCTGTGGCACTGATTTCAACATGTATCAGCCACTGTTGCTCCCCGGTCAGCTATCTTCAGCTCAAATTCTGGAAAATTTACTCAGAAAAAGAACAGGAACTCTTTAAGATCAAAGCCAAAGAGCATGCAACCAACCTGGCAGAAATAAACACAAATTGCTTTTTTGAAGGCACTGAACCAGTATCATTTCAAACTCCCAAAAACGAAGACTGGAAGAATATTTCATTCTTTTTTACATTAAATTCACAAGAGCAGTATTACAGCATGATACACAAGTATGTGAACACAACCAGAGACAAAAGCGCCAAATCTGAGGAAGGATGTCAAAGTCCCACTGGTGTAGAAGTTGTGGATAAAACACATTCATCCACATGATTCTTTGCAAAGCTGTCAGTCTTTTAACTAGAAGAGTCTTATTCTGTGCTCTTACTGAAATATATGCAAATGTTATGTAAAAGATGATAGTTGTAACCCTCAGCAGATTTGGTTTTAAATAGATTTTATTAATTTTGCTTAAGTACGCTTAAATAAATACATCTGTCACAATGGGAGTTCTCATACCTTGTTGTTATCTCTACTGCTAATTTCCTGTAATTGTAAAGCTCTTTAATGAAAAAAATAAAATAAGTATTTGAATGAATGCTGCAGGGAAAATACCCTAACATTAAACTTACCATTTACATTCTTCCTTTTATTTTTCTGAAAAATACTTCATTCCTGTGGGATTTTTAAAAGAATAATCATACATACAGTGTTTTGGGACTGGCATCAGTACCTAAGATACCTAAGCTACACCTAAGCTACATTTGTTTGTCCTTGCCAAATACACTATTTAACTTCATCCAGAATGGAGCTATCAAAGTGTAAATTAACTTGTTATAAGGGTTTAGGCTTATGCATAATATGGCAGTGTAGGTGAAGCTTATATATTGACAAACATTTATAGCACAGCCACATATTTATGGATATTATAAATCTGCAATCCATATTAGCAAATAATAATATTCTTACCAAAGAACATCAAATTATAAGAATAAATATATCGATTTTGAGTGAAGAATAGCAAAGTTCAGTTTTCGTCTGAAAAATTTTTTCTTAAGATAGCATTTAGGAGAGGTGAGTCAGATTATTTGGTCTGGGCTGTCCTTTTACTCCTTTACTACAGAAATCCTCTTTTTCTACACAGTAAACTTTGAAACTATTCAGACAGACAGAAAGGAATCCCAAGAAGTTATTTGTTATACTGATTTTCCAAGGAAGAAAGAAGGGAAGAGCCTATTTTTAAACTAGCTGAATACAATGAGCTTGGAAGATTCTTTCTCACTATAAACTGAAAGCATAACACATAAAGGGAAAACAAGATTTAATTATATATGCAGTAAAGAATTTTAAAAATCATTCATTTTGTCACAGTCACTGACTTGCTCAGTTCTCTTCTCCTTCCAAGAAATTAAATGATAATAGAATACCAAGGGTTCAATTTTGTTACTTTTGTCTTCAGCACAGTTCAGTTAAAAATGTTACCTTTTACCTCTCATACTGAAGATGTAAAAGGTAACATTTGGCCAGTAGGATGTTGCTGGAATAAGTAAAAATGGCCATATAAAGTAAGGTTTTTTGTGTCAGCCACATGTCCATCTCAGCCAGCTAAACGTAAC